GTTGTATTTGCTTGGAAACATTCTTTATCTGAGGTTTGCCATCCAAGATTGGAATATTCCTGCAATTACAACTCTACACTCATGCTTTTTATATCCTAATTTTCCTTCCCACTTCCAAAAGAATTTTTAGTGCAAAGTGAAGATGCTCATTCATCATTTGTAGGATTTTTCTTCCTGAGATGTTTATTTTCCTTTTGGGTTCATTTTGGGACATGTTATGATTTCCTTAAACTTGCTAATGGCTTCCTTGTGCTTAGTTACATAAGGCAGGGTCAAAAAAAAGTATTCATTGTAATATTTAAACTTTCCTCAACCTGATGTCTTCCAGAAGTGTTTGACCACAGAGGACCAGGTAGATCAGGAGCGTCAAAGTCAAACTCAATTTTATATGAGGGCTGCATCAGGGCTGTAATTGACCACATGGCCAGCTGGGTGGGCGTGGCCAGCTGGGGGGCATGGCCATCTTGACACCACTCCCCAAATTGCTAGCATGTTTCCTCTTCACATTGGGGCTGACTGGGCCGAAGTGACGGGGGCCGGCCCCTTATATTTTCCAGGACGGCTCCGCAGTCTGGATCCGACCACATTGCGGGTCAAATCCAGCCCACGGGCCTTGAGTTTGACACCTCTGAGGCCCAAAGAACTCTGGTGCAAGCAGTCCTTGACTTATAACCACAACCAAGAATAGAATTTCCATTGTTAAGTAAACTGGTTGTTAGGCAAGTCATGCCTAATTTTACAACCCTTTTGCCAAGGTTGATCCTGCGATCTGGCGTTTCCCATTGACTTTGCTTGCTAGCAACTGGCTGGGAAGATTGTAAACGGAAGTCATGTGACCGCAACAACACCGCAAACATTGTAAATACATGCCGGATGCTGAGCAAACAAATTGTGATCACGTAACCTTGGGATTGCTATGTTGGTTGTAAGTGTCGGGACTGATTGTAAGTCACATTTTTTGGTGCTTTGTAACTGAATGGTCACTAAATGAAGGGTTGTACATCAAGAACTATCTCTATTTACATCTGACAAGCCCAGATTGAGGGAAACTGGTAAGTAGGAGATATCACATGAATACATTTCTGCAGAAATGCACCGGTAATCAAGAATTAACTTTCTGTAGTAATTTTACACCACTTTCCTTCAAATTTCTTTTTCTGCTAGTTTCTCACCGACGCTGGGGACTGCTGGCCTTTGCTGTAGGTTTGGGCCTGGGATTGCTGGCTTTGGCAATCTTCCTGATTCACTGGAAGATGCACAGACTCCATAGAGGTAATAAAAGCATCAGAAGAACTGGTTTATAATGAGTGTGGGTGGATGTGACTCTATACTGTTTCCAATCTCAAGCAGCGAAGCAGAAAATATGACTTTGCAGCAGAGACCTGTCAGTTTCATGAGAAATTGAGGCTTATAGTCCACCAGAAAGATAATAACTTTTTGCAACGTGCATAGACTTGATACACATTGAATGCTAAATGTGATTGGTTTGTTGCTTTTCATCATAGCACAATACAAGCAGTCCTTGGGTTAAGACTGGTCACTTAGTGATCGTTTGAAGCTACAACAGATCCTTTAAAAATCTACTTACACCCTGCATTCAAAGTTCCCATAGCAAATCATGCTTAATGACCCTAGCATTTGCTTAATGATTGTGGCAAAAAAGATTGTAAAATTGGTTGTGGTCACATAACCCACTTAATCACTGTGATGATTTACAACCAAAATTGCAGTAATTACAATTGTAAGTTGAGGATTATCAAGGGAGGTACTAGTACCACTCTATAAAGCCTTAGTAAGACCACACCTAGAGTACTGCATCCAGTTTTGGTCACCACATTACAAAAAAGATGTTGAGACACTAGAAAATGTACAGAGAAGAGCAACCAGGATGATTAGGGGACTGGAGACTAAAACATATGAAGAACGGTTACAGGAACCGGGCATGGCTAGTCTAGTGAAGAGAAGAACCAGGGGAGACATGATGGCATTCTTCCAATACTTGAGGGGCTGCCACAGAGAGGAAGGGGTCAAGCTATTTTCCAAAGCACCCGAAGGCCAGACAAGGAATAATGGATGGAAACTGAACAAGGAGAGATTTAACCTTGAAATAAGGAGAAGTTTTCTGACAGTGAGAACAATCAACCAAGGGAACAGCTTGCCCTCGGAAGTTGTGGGAGCGCCATCACTTGAGACTTTCCAGAAGAGATTGGACTGCCATCTGTCAGAAATGGTGTAGGGTCTCCCGCTTGGGTGGGGGGTTGGACTAGATGACCTACAAGGTCCCTTCCAACTCTGATTATCTGTTATCTGCAGATTTGCTAATCAGGGCTTAGTATTACAAGATCGTGGGACACGTATATTTGCTTAGTATTACATATAGAACAGTCCAAATTAACTTGTTTAATAATCCATATTTTAAACACTACTACTGTGCTGGTTTAATGTTGTCTACATGGATCTACATGGATCTAAGTGTTAGTAAAAAACCCTCAAGCAAACTAAAATGGAATGTGTACTGGGGAAGATAGCATAGAGAGAAAGGCTAAAAAAAGTGAATTTGAGTTGATTCAGGTGCATTCAGATGATCTTACTTTAAGGAATTATTTCTCAGGCTTCCAAATGTGGATTATTAAAAAAAAAAACCTCTACCTTTGCCATTTGTCTTGTCTTTGAGATAAATATGTCAAATGCATGGGAAGATTCCTACTCGTTTCTTTGCGTATTTTGATTTATATTTTCTTTTCTTCTCATACAACAGGCCAAGTAGCTTAATCTTAGAAGATCCAATCAAATATCTTTATTATAGTCTATGACTAGCCTTTACAATAAGAGTACAGTAAAAAATGAAAAATAGTTCAGCACAACAGTTTGTTGTTGGGGAAGGGAAAAAAATAATATTACAACAATAAAACAATCTAGTTAATTAAAAGCTTTGGAAGATCTGTTGTTTTCCTTGGCAGGTTATTAGATTCCAATAAACACAAATCCAAGATCCTGTAAGAAGCATTCCTCATCCCTTTCATTTCTTTTTTTAAAAATTTTTATTGTTTTTTTTTTATATATACAGCAAACCATTCCATTTCAATCGTGCGTCGACTTGGGTACCTATTTCAATTATTTAAACATTATAAGTGATATTTTTCTTATCAAATCTAACAATACATCAATGTTCCCGTATATATTCCCATATACGTAATAACATCACACATTATAACTTTGCTTATATTTCTTTAATTGCTCTGTAAATACATCTTTTTAGGTTGTTCTATTTTTTTATCCATTGATAAAAACATTTTCCATACTATGTAACATTCCGTTTCTTCTTTTTCTTTAATTTCTTTCACTTCTGTTTCTCTTCCAGACGCATCTTGCCGGCACCATTCTTGTCCCATCCTGCTGATCTACTCTCCTGATTCAGAGGAGCACAAACAGTTGGTCTGCTCCTTTGCCGCCTTGTTGCGGTCAGCGCTGGGCTGCCCTGTGCTATTGGACCTCTGGGAGCTGGGCCACGTGGGACGACTGGGCATCTTGCCCTGGATGTATGCCCAACGGGAACTTGTGGGTCGCAAGCAGGGCCAGGTGCTACTGCTGTGGAGCGCAGGCAGTGCCAACGCTTATGGACTCTGGCAAGGAGAGGCCAGTAGCCCTGGTACGAAAGCCCCGGAGCCCTATGACCTCTTTGGGGCAGCCATGGCCTGTTTACAAGGTGAACTTCAAGGTACGGTCCAGCGATGTGACTGGGTAATCGCCTATTTCAGTAAACTGTGCGACCGGCGGGATATTCCCTGTGCTCTGCGCTTTCTTCCCCGTTACCGCCTGCCTCAGGACCTGCCGGACCTTTTTGGGGTCCTTCAGGGCAACTCCAGCTCAGGACCCAGCTGGCTCCATGCTAGTGCCAAAGCCCTTGTGTGCCACCTGCTCAAAGGCAAGAAGAAGAGGAATTCACGGAAACTGCGGAATCAACCATGGAGCAAGAACATCAGGAGACTGGAGGAATCCCTGTTCCCCCTTGCTCAACCCAAGACACACAGGCCAAGCTGCACTTGAGGGCTGTGGACTAAAGGTGTATTGCAAAATGGGATTGGTCCCACTGGTTATCCGTAGGCGGAAGGCAGCCATTGGGCCTCAGAAGGATTGGCCTTCTTTATGGTGCCTAAGAAATGGCGTCTGTAATCATCTTGGCCGGTAAATCCAATGCCACAAAAACAAAGGAAGGGGTCCAGCTCAGCTAAACGTAAAGCAGAGAGATTCCTCTGGGTCTGCCAGAGAGTCCACCCACCCCCTCCATCACCTGCGGGTTCATGGCATCTGTTGCCATAGAGATGACAGGGTACCGCGAAGAAGGGGTCATGGCCTTGTTGCTGAAAGCGGGATGGTGCAATATGAAGGTTGTGGGCAGTCGTGTGAGGGATTCACAGGGGCTGCTGCTTCCTTGCAAATTCTTCCCAGAGGATAGTAAGCTTGCCAAAAGGTGGCCAGGTTAGGCCCAGGGAAGAGGATCTTGTTGCAAGCTAGATGGACTAAACGAAGAGGCTGAATTCTTGCTTTGTTCACCGTCCATCACTCCAGGACTCTAAACCCACAGAAGGTGGAGAACATCTCTGACGGCTTTCAGAGTGTTCGTTTTATTTGTTTCTTTTCAAAACATGGGTCCTTAACATTTCTATTTGTGGAGGCACAAAGACCAGCACAAAGAAACCTGCAGATAACATAGCATAACATAAGAGTTGGAAGGGACCTTGGAGGTCATCTCGTCTGACCCCCTCCTGCTCGAGCAGGAGAGACTATTCCAAATATTAGCCCCTACCTAGGATCGAACTCACAGCCTCCTGATTGTGTGGTGAGAGTCGACCTCTATGCCAGTGATCTCCTAGATAGTACACTAAGGGTCGTTCCCCACTGTTGAGTGGAGGTTCTCTTCATCTACCTATGAGCTGGCCAAAACCGATGCCAGCAGGGAGTCGGCTGTTCCTGTTACCAGTCCAGAGATCAGTTGGTTCGGACCGGTTCTGGCGTTCCGGTAGCGGAAATTTTGAGTAGTTCGGAGAACCGAAGCATGCTCTCATCGAGTAGGTAGGGAAAAATTTGGAATCTCGCCACTGTACTTAATCCCTACCCCGATTCTGTCACCCGTCAATGCGGTCTCATGACTCCCTTCAAGGAAATGGGGTGACCAAGGCCCAACGGATTTTATGCACTTTAGAACTGCTCTGGAGGGGGCTGGGTGTCAGAATATGTGAAAACACTATTTGAACCCCAGTAAAGCTGAAGAAGAATCTTCTAGTTAGAGAAGATCAGCCTTTTGGCTCATAAGCGGAGGACAAGATGATTGGGAGCATCAAGGGGATTATCACAGAACAAAAGCTATTCTCAGAGTGCGTTGTTGCTGTGTTACAAGTGGGAAAAGGACTCACAAAGTCATACAATCAGGTGAATTTAAATGTAATCCGCTACCCGCTTGCCTCGCTTTTGACCACTCCATTTCCAAACCAGCAAAAACAAGCATGTTGCTAAGAGAGTTGTAAGAGATCATTATTTTGTTTTGTATGTTTAATCTGCTGAGGTTTTTGTTGTTGTTGTTGTTGCTCAGGTCCTACGTCTGTTCTTGGTGCTGCTATCTTGGAATACAATAATAAAGATGGCTTTTAAAGGAAATTCAAAAATGCAAAGGGCAATTTTTCTGCTCTAGGTAACCTACAACATTGTACTGATGGTCTCCTAAAAAGTAGAAACCTTGATAAAGTAAATGCTTTTAAAAGTATATCTGTGCCTCCTGACTTTGAAAGTAAGCTTGCCAATCTTTTCGATGAATAACCCCCCTGGTGGAAGGGCTGTCTGTGTCATTCCATAATGCAACTTATGGCCTTTCAGATACGTCGTTTTTACAGCTTCCAGACCTGACCGTGTTGGTTTAGAATTATGATTAGATCCAATGTATCTGGAAGACAACAGATTGGGGGGAAACCGTCCTAATAGCTTCAAAC